AAAAAAAAAAATTTAAGACTTTTTACTATTTTCAAATTCGAAACACTCTAGCTCCAACTCAAGCTGTCGCAGTTTAATTTGGTATTTAATTATTTTTTTAATTATAACTATTACCAATCTTAATTCGTTTACTTACATTTTTCGTTGTTCGCTAAAGTTTAAAATGTTCCTTTGATCACTTAAAATAAATTTCCGATACTCGAAATCTAGAACATCAAATTTCCGATAGAATTCCGATTCGAAGTTGATCGAAATGTAGAACAAGGCGGAATTGGAAATAATTTCCGATTGTCAGAATGCAGAACACCAACACTCGGAAACAAATCCGATTCCGATTCGAATCGGAATGCAGAACAGAGCTGATAGACTCGACACGTGAATGCCGTTTTGGGCACACAACCACCAGACGTGAACGAGACAGAGTTTCGTCTGCCCGGGGAGACTCGGAGCACAATAGCCCAACTTCGCTCTGACTACTGCACCAGGTTCAACTCATATCTGAGCAGATTAGATGCGGATGTGCGCAACGAGTGCCCGTCCTGCGGAGAGTCACCACACGACTCGAGACATCTCTTCGCATGCCCACTAAACCCCACTTATCTAACGCCTCTGTCCCTATGGACTGACCCTATAGAAGCTGCACGTTTCAACTACGCGACAACGTTGGAGGCACTAACCGATTTGGGCGGGGTTGTTGTAGCCGCTATAACAGCAACAACTGGTACGATTAGGAGTGTCAAAAAATTGCAGAGATAAAAGATGCCAACTACTGGGTCACATTATGATCAGGCACAACGCGAGCTATGTGGGACTATTACAGGGAACTGAATAGGGAAGCGAGACGTATTTGCCACAATACGATAGAGACCGAAATATGTGAGTGCGAAGAGCTTGAAATGCTGGTCGACAGGAAAAGCTCCCTTACGAAAGGTTCAAGACCAGGGTGAACTCCTGTAAGAACAACTATAGTGACCGATGTTCAGAACATACTTAAATTATGGAGGTAACACTTTTCCGCCCTATTGAATCGCTGCAGTGCTGAAAGTAGTGAAGACGAACCCGATCCCCCAGTCGATGACGATGGAGTCGATGTCCCACTGTCTGACTATGTTGAGGTACGAATAGCGATTAAGAGGCTGAAAATAAAGCTGCTGGAGCTGACGGCCTGCCAGCCGAGCTATCAAGTACGGCGGCGAGAAACTAATAAGGTGCATGCATCAACTCTTATGCAGAATATGGTCAGATGAACGCATGAACGACTGGAATTTAACCCCCCACCCAACACCCAAAACAAATAAAAAAGTTAATGTTCGGGCGGAGCCGAACATTAGATACCCGGCGCAAGTATTAAATATAGTTGTTTTTTCACCTTTCCGAAAAATACCGCTGCATGGTAAGCAGGGGAGATTCTACTCCTATTTCAAACATCTTCCATAAACTTAGCTATATGTGGGCGGTATCCCACCTATTTTCCAAAATTCCATAATAATGTTTGTTGTGAAACAGGGCCCTTTCATTATTCGTGCAACTTTGTTTGCAATATAGCATATGGCAACTCCGTAGTTTCTTCTTGGCTTGGGTTGACGGTTGACAGCACTGATTTCAAACTAAAAAGATATTCAACCCGAGCAGAAGTGGAAACTGCGGTAAGTTTTTTCCTTTTTATAAATTGCTTTATTAATGCATTGTTTTATTCATATCTTTAGAAATAAACAAGATACAACATTGTACGTTCTATTTCATTCATTTCTGCGAGGGCCAGCAACATTTTTATTTCGCAGCTTCGTTTGCAGCTAAGTCCTGCGAAAACATGATTCACCATACACCTCGCCGTAGCCTCCGTTTCCAGCCAGGAGCAGGCAGCCAGCCTGAGGGTACTCCGAGATGTCTGGCAATCACATCGCCGCCTAACACAGATTCTCTAGACACAGGCGTTCAAGATAACTCGACTACGACCACTTTCACTATATCGTCCAGTGCCATTACGTCAACCGCCGTCGACATTTTGCCGTCGAACACATATTTGCCTGCTACTATTGATACTATATCGTCAATTACTTATACAACAGCGGCTCATGACATTCCGCTTACTACTACTACGCCAGTATTACTGCCTGATACGTCTCCCATTACTTATATGCCACTTGTGACTGGCATGACGTCGTCTGACATGTCACCAGCGCCGCCTGACATGCCACTGGCTACTGGTGCATCGGACAATATGTACACCAGATCAATAACGACCGATTATTCGCCTTTCATGTGCACCTCAGCCAATACGTGCGTTCCGCCGCCCTATAGTCACGCGTCTGCAGTACCGCCTGCGCCAACGTCCGTCGCTTATAAGCCAGCCGCGCCGAGCATTATGGCGCTTTATGGTTATTCTCCTGCAACATCCGCGCCATTCAATACCCATGCGCCAATAGTGGCGACCAACATGTCAGCTAGCACAAACTTTCCGCCGTGCGATAGTCACACGCCTGCAGTACCACCTGGACCGCCGTCTACAATGTATATGACAGTTCCATTTAGTGGTGCGATGTCTTTTGGTCAGGGTCCAGCCGCCACGTTCGTACCCTCAAATACTCACGCGCCAATGGAGGCGCCCGTCATGTCTTGTAGTTGTATTCCAGCAGTACCGCCCGGTCCTTCGCGCTATGTCTATATGCCAGCCATCAAGCCCTATCCGCCGTCCAGTATACCGGCACCAACGGCAGTACCCGCCGCACCGCCAATAACTTGTTCGCCAGTTACGGATGCTTATAAGCCAATTATTTCCAGT